AGAGAGAGAGAGAGAGAGAGAGAGAGAGAGAGAGAGAGAGAGACGGCGACCTGCACACGGCAGGTCGCTGCCTCTCTCTCTCTCTCTCTGTCTCTCTCTCGCGAAGATCCATTCCCGTTACGGTATAGATAATGGAAATGCGGGCGCACTTCCATTATCTAGAGAGAGAGAGAGAGAGAGAGAGAGAGAGAGAGAGAGAGAGAGAGAGAGAGAGAGAGAGACGGCGACCTTGATTATTGTCTTTTGTGCATGTCTATAGTAACCGTTTCTTTTTTTCTTTTTTCCATATGTTTTAGAGTAAATCCCATTTCTTTTTTTCTTCTCGTTTTTTTCTTCTTCTCGGTTTTTTTTTTTTTTTTTTTTTTTTTTTTTTTTTTTTTTTTTTTTTTTTTTTTTTGAAAAAAAAATCCAAAAAAAATTGGGGTTTTTAATTTTTAAAAAAATTTCCCCCTTTTTTTTTTTTTTTTTTTTTTTTTTTTTTTTTTTTTTTTTTGTTCTTTATTCCGTGTTCTTCTCCAATCACATTTGGGAAGTTAGCGCCCGGTGGTTCCGAGGCTCGGCATACAGGTCGGCCTAGGCTCCGACTTGATAGCTGCGGCAAGCAACAATTTTAGGGGGCAGCTACAGGTCCTCCGCAAGCAACAACTGGCCGTTCCCCATGAATTGCCCCACAGGAAATCCACCACCGTTCCGACTACCCTCGGACCCGAACGGACGAATGATTACCAAATTCACTCCGGGGTATAAACAGCACCCCTGAAGCGCTCCGCATCCAGGCTGCTGGCTACCACCTAATCCCATAATCTCACTAGTTAAAAACTAAAACTCACTCAACTACTACCAGTAGCTGGCTAAAATTTGTCATTCTGTTCACTCACCCGGGCTCGATTCCGAAAATTTTTAAGCCATCGAGTTCTTGTTCTAATATTACCCCTCCTTGCTCATACTCGCGCCTTCCGCTGTGTACTGTCTACTGCCATTCGTCTTTCTTCTTTCTCCTTCCTCCACTTTCTTCTGCTTCGTTTTTCTGCTTGAATGCGATCTGTACTGAGTCTGTTCATCCCCCTTCGTTGTACTGTAATTCGGCTTTCTTCTTCCTCTGTTCATCCCCCTTCGTTGTACTGTAATTCGGCTTTCTTCTTCCTCCCCCTTCCTCCTCTTTTGTTCTTCTTCGTTTTTCTGCGTGAGTGCGATCTATACGTGGTCTATTCATCCCCCTTCGTTTTCTTCTCTCTGGCTACCGGTAGTGCTTCCTCCTTTTATGTATGCTTGCTCGGCTGTCGATTCGCAGCCACGACTGGATGTCCCCTGCTTGTAAAACTGCATGACCTTGCGTCTGCCTTTCACCAGTCTACCAGTCACACTCTTAACTCTCTTCGCCCTGCGTGTGTGACCACCTTCTCAGTCGAATGTATCGTGAACAGTTAATTCCCCATCTCGTTCACAGGTGGCTCGTTTCATTTTCGTCCGTGCACTCCCTCCGATAAGCTGAGGAGGTCCAGCAAAGCAAAAAAAAAAAAAAAAAAAAAAAAGATGAAGAAGGAAAAAATAAATTACATGTGCCATGGTTACCAGGC